AGCCGTCGAGGGTCGACGAGTAGGTCCCGTCCTCCTCGGAGTAGGCGAAGAACCCGCACCAGTCGAGCTGGGCCTCCTCCACGAAGCGCAGCAGCGGTCGTGGTCGTCTCGGTCTCGCCCGGGTAGCCGACTATGAAGTTGGACCGGAAGGCCGCGTTCGGGCTCGCGCCGCGGATCGTCTCGATGCGGGCCAGGAACCGCTGGCCGTCGCCCCAGCGCCGCATGCGGCGCAGCAGCGGCCTGGAGACGTGCTGCAGCGGACAGTCGAAGTAGGGGACGCCGGTGGCGCAGATGGCGTCGATCAGGGCGTCGTTGAGGTCCGACGGGTACAGGTACAGCAAGCAGTCCGGCGTGTGCGGGCGACCGCTGGCCGACACGGCGCTCCACCACATCGCCACTATCCGGTCCGCTCGCCCGTCGCCTGGTCCCTGCCGTCGGACGCAGAGTCCTGCGTCACCAGCACGATCTTTCGGCCGTCTTCGATCTGCTCGCTCCACTCTCGTCGAGGAGTCTTCTCACGGAGCGGCTGCGCTGCGGGCCGCGGAAGCTGGGGATGGCGCAGAAGCGCATGTGTCCGGTCGCATCCCTCGGCGATCTTGACGTACGCCCACGGCGGTGCGAGCGGCGGGTCCGTAGGTTGCGTCAGTCGAAGCCGGAACGGGCGAGAGTCCGGCGCGCGCAGCGCACGTGCACGGACCGTACGGGCCGGTAGCTGGCTGTGCCGGCCGTGCCCCGCGCCGTGCGGGCTCGTCCGACATCCTGCGACCTCCGGTCGTGCCTCTCGGGAGCAGTGCCTCTCGGCCAGCGTCTGCCCTCTCGGCGCCTATAGCGCTCGCGCATGTCTTCCGCCCAGATCCGGTCACCAGCCATTGACGCAGCCCGGGCGCTTCGCTCCTCGGCATCCGGCCAGGATCGTTTCGATCGACTCTACTGACTCCTGCCGTGCCCTCCATCCACGAAGGCGTCAGGTGTTGAACGACGACCCATCGCGCACGCGTCGCTGGGCCGTGCGACAGCCGTCGGCGACCAGCAGCCCGGTCAGCTTGTCGGAGTCGACCTGGTTCTTGGGACACCCCAGGGTGTGAACCACGAAGGTCTTGGGCCTGTCGTACATAGTGACTCGCGAAACCAAGGTACCTCCCGGCCTTGGCGCCGGCTCAGTGTCGCTCTGTGTCTCCGTCCGCCGGCTGTTCGTCCTCGCGGCGGTCCACCTGCGTTAGCTCGCCTCGCTCAGTCTCGATCCCGCTGTGCCGCTTTCGAGGGGCAGGGTCGTGGTCGTCGTGGTCGTCGTGGTCGTCGTGCTGCGCTCCGGGGGCGGAGGTCATGGGAGACGCAGTGCCGGACGATGGGCGCGATGCGCTCGACGCGCTCGCCGGAGTCGGCCGGGGCGGGCGCGCCGTTGGCGTCGAGAAGGTGCGGGTGGAACTCCCATGCCACGACTTCGTCGCCGTCGAAGTCGATCTGCAGCACTCCGGTCTCACCGAGGACGCCGGAGCGTACGTGCCAGATGAAGTTCCGAGTCGAGATAGGCCCGAGCTTGCCGCCTGGCGTTTTAACTCTCGTGCTGAAGCACGTGAGGATGGTGACCGATGATCGCGTCGGCGCCGGCGTCGAGCAGCTGCTGGGCGAGGAGGCGCTGGTCGCTGCTGGGACAGGTGTCGCGCTCGATGCCCCAGTGGACCGCGAGAATCACCGCGTCGGCGTTGGCGGCCGCGGCCCGCACGGTGTCGAGGACGCGGGCGCGGGCCGGCGGATGCGCCGACGCGATCCCGGGCGTGGCGGCGCTGGCGGCGAAGCGAGGGCACGATCATGGAGGCGCCCACGAAGGCCACGCGAACGCCGTTCTCGGTGGACAGGAGCCGATACTGGTATCCTCATCGTACGTTTCGACCAGCGCCGATGGTCACCACAATATATATAAAACCGCCGCTTCCAGCAGGTCGACGGTGTCCGAAAGGGCGTCGGGGCCGTAGTCGTTGGCGTGGTTGTTGGCCAGGTTGGCCACACTGACGCCGCCGGCCGCAATGCGCTCCGCCGCCGACGGTGGGGCCCTGAACACGAACTCCTTCCAGTGGGGCGTCCCGCGGTCGCTGATCGCCATCTCCACATTACCTGGAGAAGTCCGACGAGCCCAGAGGGGGGTCCAGCGATGCGAAGGGATCCACGCCGCCGCTCTGTGCTGTCATCACACAGATCGGCCCCCCGCCGGCCAGCAGCGTCCAGGCCTTCTCTACCAATGATTTGATTTGTGCAGAAGTCAGAATGGAACCACCAGATAGCATTACATCGAGACAGAGTCATGGGTCTGAAGTGGAGTATCTCATCAGAGACTCGTGTGATTTCATTGGTTCGTCTGAAATATTCTGTGCTGTTTTGCGTTGAGTGCTACATCAGTTTTTAAACTGCTAGTATACGTAACGCAAGTGTTATAATATTCTCAGCTTTCACAATGAAGTTTAAATAACAGAAACTACCCCCCACTCCACTCCACGTTGTAGATAGCTACACTCATGTGTTCAGTTTTCAGTTCCAAGAGTGAAATATTTCCTGCAAGATGTATGCAAAACTGTGATATTCTTACCTTTTATGTCACTGTGCTCTTATTTTAGATGACTCACTATCTGAAAAACTCTCCTCTTCAGTAAGTTATAAAACTGTTAATTTAGTACCTAGGTAACTTTGATTATTGTGGGGGGAAATTCTATTTTCCTTAATCCAGTATGGAGCAGTTGACCCATTGAGACGGAGCAACACAATTATCACAGTCAGTTTCACAGAGGATAGAGTACATTACTATTCCATAGTCCAATGATAGTTGAAGTAGAACATATAGTTGGCTTGTCTCTTCTTGCACAAATGTTTCCACAAAAAATGCAAAATTGTTGATACCTTTATTAGAGGTTGGAGGGTGGATTGGCAAAGCAATAGAGGTGAGGTTTAGAAGATAGATACATGACTGTTCCATACTCCAGCGATATTCAAAGTATTACAAATGGTTTGCTTGTCTCTTCTGTCGTTGATGTTCCCACAAAATATCTATGCAACACCCAGCTTGTTGGTGGGTGGATTGGTAAGGTAGATACCACAGAAAAGTGGTTGGAAGCTAGATAGCTATGGATAGTTACAGAAAGATATAGTAGTGAGCTTATTGCCAACCGTCACACATCGAGTGTTCATCTTGTGCCCAGACCCTCTCTTTGTAGGGTCTGGGACTGAAACTATTGAGTTCTTCTCTCTTTTCTCCTGGCCTAATGTGCAGATGGGTGAGTTTGATCAGTTCTCAGCCCACACCGTGTGTCCCTTCTGCAAAGAGGAGACAGAGACTGTACTAAGGCACCACACTGGGTCTGCCACTTTCAAGTGCTTCATACTTCTGGTGTTGCTTACCTGTGGACTGTGAGTGAGAACTATCATACACAAGTTGGCTATAGGGACACGTCACTTTGCCTATAATATCTCCTACCAGGCAACATTTCTACAGCCTAATGGAGGTAGAAATAATAGCTTGTCTGAGAAGGGCCACAAAACCCTGTCATTAGCTCTTAATTCTTCAATCCTCCAGGTTGGCCTGCCTCCCATTTCTACTGAAAGATTTCAAGGACGTTGACCATGTGTGCCAGCACTGCGGCAAGATTATTGCCACCTACAAGAGAAACTTTATTAGTAGATAAAATCATGTGGTGTGTGTCACTCTTCTCTCAACTAAACTAAATTTTTGTTTTTGGTAGTGGATCTATTGCTATTGAGAAAGGTCTTTGATCCAATGTCAGTGAGTGAGGAATCAAACCCTCAGTCAGGACACTGTCAATTGCAGCCATTTACCCAGTGTAGTGTGCTATGTGCCACCATTTCTCCTTACATGTGTGGATGCCAATTGAAGCAGTGCCACCACAACGGCAGTACTAGTCCTTGTGGTGGCACTGCTTTTGCTACTCAGAAAGGAAGTGGAATGCAATTATAATGGGTGGTAAGAATGTTTCAGAATATTCGGTCTCTCAAATAGAGAGAGAAGAAATGTTTACATGTGCCAGCAGTCATCTTCCTTTGCAAGGACAGCCGTGACTGTTATGGTGCATCAACACTAAATACCGTGGGCTCGCTTTGCTTGCCAAGGTTTCATGTTTTGCCAATTAAAGCAGTGCCACCACAAATGGGGCAGTCACTTAGTTATAATTTATACTCCCTTTGTGGTGGCACTACTTTGGCATCCAATCTATTATACTCAGAAAGGAAGTGGAAGATTTTATGATGGTGGTATATAAGAATGTTTCGGAATAATTTCTGTGTTTGCTTGCCAAGGTTTCATTTTTTGTTGGAATAGTGTTGTAGTGCTATTCAAATTACATCAGTGTAAAATCATTCTTTGTTTTTTCAGTCAGTGGACTTGCAAACCCTTTTTAGAATTATAATTGCTTTAGTCCAGTCAAAATGAACTTCTTGTGAATCACTGAACTGCTTCTTGATCTTTGTCACGGCTTCTAAATTGGGAGAACAAGAACTGGTCGTCATTGACGGCATTGCATACTCCAAGTATGCCTCTATGTTTTTGAAGACGTAATTCATTTGTTTAGTAGACGAAAATACGATCTCGAAACCACACTAAGGAGCCAGTTGCAGGTAAACATCAATTCCCTCAATATAGGAATTGCTCACGGTTGGCTTGATGGGGCCCCAAATGGCCGAAGAGTCCGCATCTGTGGCGCAGGAAATGGCAAAATCCCCACCCACCTTCAAGCTCTTATAGACATTTCTAAACGCGTTCTTCTTGTCCTCGATCCAGTGCATGACGTGGTTCGAGAACACGAGGTCGTACACGGCACCGCTCGTAATGTCGTCGCTACTCCCCACCAGAAAGCTGATATTCTTCAACTGGGCGTAGTTCCGCTTGGCGACAGCAATCCTCGCTGGGTCTGGATCGATTCCAGTAACCGTTCCTCGCTCTCCGAGTTTATTTGCAAGAACACTAGTCAGATGGCCGGTACCGCAACCGAGGTCGAGGACGCTGCATTCTTGGTATTTCTCCAATGAAAGGTGCTCTATCAGCTCTTTCCCGTCAGGGGGTTTGATAGTCATTCTGAACTCTGTCGTACTTTTCAGCGGAGTCCATCAGGGTTTCAGCCAAAAAATACGTGACTCTGGGCGGTGTGCGTCCTTTTAGGGGCGCGGGCGCGCGCCTCGTGTAACAGGCGCGCGCGGCGTGAAGCGCGAATAATCCTGGCGCATGCTAGCTAGCGCTCCCACTCGCCAATATTTGGTAAGAAAAAAACAGCATTATTACAAGTATATGATGGCACATACATCTTCCGCCATATTATGGCATTCAGTTGTGTAAAACAATATGCTCCAAAATTTCTGGAACCACACTGTTTTCCTCCTCCACAGACATTATTTTAATTGAAACAAAGTGATCAGCATGAATTTAATTATTCGACAAATGCATTTGGTGATTCAAGATCGGATAGAAAAGAGTCAATTTTGTTTGTTGTGATGTGTCTCATGATGTATATCTGGGCAAATGCGTGCTCTTCTGACTCTATTACAAGAGTTGCAACCGTGAGTGCATACTTTAGCACGATTCGAGTGGTCGGCTTTCGAAAGAGAATTGAGAGGGAGGGAGGAGTGTTCATGACCATGAGATCCAATCCGATTCGCTTCTCGAGCTCCTTCAACTGGTGCAGGGTGTACGGCACAAGATCAAGGCAGCGTGTGATGTTTGCCACCTGAGTATCGTAGGGGGTTGCTGCTGATGTATGACCATAGGAGCATGGGAGAGTGGGCATTGCGTGAGAGTGATAGTGTCGTGTCAGTTGCACCAGTGTAGGAAATGCACTTTTCTTTGGAGCAGAGGAGACTGTTACGTGTGAGGTAGACACCACACGGCCACGGAGTTCCGATGTACTTGTGGCCACTGGTGACGATGGACGAGACGAAGTCCAGTCGGAAATCAAACTCTGAAGCTGGTGCCACGTCTGTTAGGCCGTTCTTGTAGGCCATTTCAAGGAACGGCATGTACGCTGCTGATAGAGCTCCATCCACGTGAAACCAGAAACGTTTGCGTACGACACTTTTTGAAGGGTCAGCACTGTTGTAGATTGTTCGCTCGTACATGTTGTTGTTTTTTAACACATTCACCAACCTCTCCCCTCCTGATTTGACATCATCACAGCTTCCTTTCAGTGTAGTGCCGTAGCTAAAGAGGACTACAATCGGGTGACCTTTAGCGGAAAAGAAATCCACCAGTTTTTCCAGAGCATCGATATCGATGGTGCCTGGTCCAGCATCACCTCCAGTGCAGGGGACTCCCTGGACCCAGTCTCCACCGAGTGGATTCTGATCAGGATACAGCTCTTCACCCACCTGGTGGAACTGCATCAACCCGACGATGTCTGCCAGCTTGCAGATGCTGAAGTTGGCGTTTTGCGAGAAGAAAAGGACGGGTTGAGCTGCGGGGTTGTCCATGTTGGATGATTCGAGAGTGAGGTAGTTGCGAGCACTCCACAGAGCATGCAAGTTGCCCTCTGAAGACCCCATAGTGAGAACATATCCCCAGTAGCTCTCTGGATCATCTGGGTTGTGTGGCCACTTGGCGTTCCATAGGGAAGCAAAGTAATCCAAAACGTTTCTCTCTACCCACTTGGGCATGTGATTGTAAGCCTTTGCAACAGTGAAGGGATCACCTGCGATGTTTGCAGATACGCCAACCATTGATGACTGCATATGACGGGGGCAATGCCAATCTTGCGAGACCATGAATCCAAACATGTTCTCGGCCCCTTCCTCCAGCTTCCCCTGCGTCTGCTCCATAGCGTTTTCTTGCTCCTCCGCGCTCAGGCCGCACGACGGGACTTGGTACAGCGCTGGCGTGACTCCATCCGGAAAGCTCCTGTCCTTCTCCAGAGGATCGAAGCTCGGAGGTGTTACGAGCGGGGCGCCGTCGACGGGCGAAATTCCTACTTCTGAGAGCGTCTCGTGCCACGGTCTCCGGCCCGGCCCGTACGGAATGCTGAGTTGCGTGTCCTCGGTCATAGTCTTACCACCATGCACTTTACGATGTCTTGTTAGCGAGTTACCAGTTGACTTTTTATAGCGCCGAATGCTTGAGCGGATTACAGCCTACGGATAGGTTTCGATGGGGAATTTCTGTCATGTCCCATTTCCATTATCCTGTGTGGAATGAACTGAGCCTCCGAAATTGTTCGCATCGCTGCACTCTAGGTTTCATAATATTTACGGAAAATCAGAAGGAATCTGCACCCACAACGTTTCCTCAAGACGAATTTGGCGTAACCGGAAGAAAGCAGAGGTTCCTGACGGAAGAAGCATTGCCGGCGCCATTGTTCACAGTAGGTAATTCCCACCTCAATATAATCTCCCTAGCTAAGCGTACAATAGAACTCAGATCCCCTGCTCGTCCGCTTAGCCCGGTAGCTAAGTTTCGCAATAACTTCAAACTCATACCGCAAAGGGATAGCAGTGCGCAAGTCACGGATGGTACATACATGGGATCGGATGCCGGATTTGACACATAGCTACGTAACTGCGCCCATCATCCCTTACAGCAAAATATAAAGCGGTAGAAGTCACGCGATCTACTTACAAAACGGGTTCAAACTCGGCGAGAACGCCTAGCTAAGCCTTCACAACATACTAGCATCAACTAACGGGCCCTTGTCTAGCTATAAAAACCCAGACTGATAGCTATGTGCCGGTTGTGGATAGTCAAAGGCACGGAAATATCTATGGCCTATTCGCACTTGTGTTAGCTACACGATCTGCAGTTCCATCCTCTTTATTAGTTGGTTGCTCATGGGGAGACTACGTATCTCTGGGGGATTAGCTACTCCTGCGTGCATCCCCTTCCGTATTCAATTTTCTCGCGCATGCGCGTATTATAAGTAGTCACGCGACACCCAAAACACCGCCCCCTATACTTTTGGGTGGCAGAGAGATCGAGAGAGTGTATACTTAGCGTCCCATATCCACTGCCCTGCTGTTTGTTTCGGCTCATAGTCGGGAACCGATGAGTGCCCACTACAAGGAGTTCGACGAGGTTGCCAGCGGGTACTACGGAGGACAGCGTAAGTAGGAACAATGAGCGGTCGTACTTTGTTGATTATGAGCCGAGGACGAGCGAGAGATATCAAGTTCGTAACTTAGTTGCTTCCCTGTGTTTTTGTTCATATCGCCATAGTACTTATAATACAGGTCTTGCCCTTCCAAGATGTTTAATTTAACCACCAGAGCTTGGGGGTGTGGCAAAGTGTCTAGATGTGTGCTCAAGAGCCAGTGTTCACATGTATGCATGTGCATAGACGTCTCTGGTGAAAAAAAGCATCAGATCAAGTCTGTGTTGTGGATCAGTGATTCCTAGAGAAAACTGTGAGAGAGTGAGTGTGTGCCGTGCAGTGCATTAGTTCCCCGTGCCGATGCAGGCAAGACACATTTTCGTAGTTAAGTTACAAACGAACCCTCCTTTCCTTTTCTCTGTTTCTCTTTTTCTCTCTCAGTTCTGTAGAGAGAGAGAGAGCGGGTGCGTCCCTGTCATTAGCTCGTCCAAAATGGCCAGGAACTTAGAATACTTGCCCCTGCGCCGCTTGGCTCCCCGTGAGTGACCTGGGTGCATGCCGTGTGTGCAGAATCAAACATTGTAGCAGTCTTTTAATAGGCCACTCCCTATGATAAGATCCTATTACCAGCCTCGACATTAAGGAGAATAGTGGGAAGGTTTACGATTGAAATCTTTAATCAACTATTAAAATGTTAACCTGCAAAGCATGATCATACATACATTAGCTGTGTGTGCATGTGTGTGTAATGGGCTGTGTGTCAGTTTGCTATACTAAAAACACTAACTGTGGTGTATGCATACGATGATCGGTAGCATACTGGTCGCTACAATAACACTCAGTGAAGTGTATTACTGTTTATTCTGTGTACATACATACGTATACATGACCATAAAAACTATCCTACAGCCTCTTATGGTGTGTCTGGCTACGGACTAGGAGGAGGAGGAGGAGGAGGAGGGGAGGAGGGGGAGGGGGAGGAGGGGTGGGGATGGACACTGAGATCCTTGTAAGAGAAGTCCAAGACAACACACAACACTTCAGCAGCAATGGTGAGGTCACGTGACTCCTCATTATCGGTTACGTAATTTCCTGCCTAATATCTAATTACTTCCCGTGTTGTTAATTACTCAGTCATGTGACATGACTTCCTTCTTATTTCCTCTTTTATGTTTGTATGTTTTGTGACTTCCATGTGTCTATGTTTCCTGTTATTCTAATATACCCTTGTAGTGTGACTGCATCTTACATAATTATCCTGCATGTTGGGTTTCATTCAATAAACAGTCTCCAAATGAGACGTAGAATGTAACATGCAGTGGTGAAATGTACACTTTAAAGACATGTAGGGCCAACAAGCCCGAAACAGCTGTCCAGAGCTCCACATCTTTTTTCTCTTGGCATCACATGGTCTATTGTTACATGTGATTCTTGCAAAGGTTTTGTTAACTGGCTTGAGCATTGCAGTGTAGCTACATGGCTAAATCATTTACATTACATACATTACATAAGAACACACGTGAATGAATGCTTAATATAGCATGTACTTGTACACATCATTGTAACGTATGACATCACTTATGCTGTACATATGGGTATGTATGTAAGTCGGTATAATCAAGAGCTGTTTAGAGGATCGTGTTGTCCAATACATCCTCCTCCTCCTCCTCCTCCTCCTCCATTACAGTTGCCAGTCTGGAGAGGAAGATGAAGCTCCTCAACACTGCCCAGGACAGTGTCAGACTACGGGAAGAAATGTGAGCTCCACACACTACATCATACTTCCTTTAGAAGGATGGGAGGAGCATTGGGGGATAATAATGTAGTAAGGAGGGAAACAGGTGGGGGGCCATAGAACTAGGGCCATACCCTGGCACCTCTCACAAAGGACTCTAGAAGAACTAGGGCCATACCCTGGCACCTCTCACAAAGGACTCTAGAAGAACTAGGGCCATACCCTGGCACCTTTCACAAAGGACTCTTTAAGTGTGTGTGGATTGAGTAATCAGTATGGTATGATTAAGATGTGTATGCAGCATTACCGATTATACGCTATGTGCAGCATTAAGAGTGGAACCACATTATACACTATGTGTACGCTTCCTTTAGTAAAAGGATGGGAGAAGCATTGGGGAATAATGGAGGGAAACCCACCACTCCTGCTTCATAATTATATATGCCTCTATGACATTGAAGAATAGCTACTGGTATCTCCGCGATGGGTTTTCACGGGAAGAAAACATTAAGAATCAGTTTCCTGTTGAGAAATCTGCTTGTGTAGCCTTCTAAAACTATAATATGAATGTTCCACTCGCTGTGAATCTTCTCTCCAGCATCCAGTTGTCAAAGGACACGGTCCAACTGGCCAAGATCACCGACACTTCGCTCAAGAAACTCAACCAGCTGACGTCCGGGAATGGACAGGTATTCAACAACATCCAACGTCCTCTACAGTACAAACAATGTGGCCAACGATTGTGTCCTTTGTAGAGAGGTCGTCCCTATCTCGGAGGTCAAATAATACACTAAAATATGAGCTAAAGTATGAGTATGGGGTTGAAACAAGTGTCCCTTGTAGAGAGGTCGTCCCTATCTCGGAGGTCAAATAATACACTAAAGTATTAGCATGGGGTTGAAACAAGTGTCCCTTGTAGAGAGGTCATCCCTATCTCGGAGGGTCCCTTATCGGAGGTTCCACTGTAGTTACTCAAGAACTCCAATTATGTACTGTATGTAGTATAATACATTTGTTGTGTATGTACTAACTAGTACATATACGTGTGTTGTGTGTGTTTCCACACAGTCTGAAAGAATGGTGTACGGTCGACTGGCAAAAGCCTTTCAAACCTCTCTACAAAAATTTCAGCCACTACAACAGGTACATACATATAATTGTCTGTATAATGTTCATTAAACCTTCCACCTCCCAAGGATTTTATATACGTACCCTTGGGGATGGTAAAGGTCTGTTAGTGTGTGTGAATCGTGTGTGTGTGTTGTTACTGCAGAATGTAGCTGATCTTGAGCAGGACATGCTGACCAGGGCTCGCTCTGGTTCCTCCAGCAGAGTAAGAATACAGTACTGTCCATATAGCTACATACTGTAAGACTTGTATTACAGCCCAGTGCATAGAATACTGTAGTACTAGAAGATGTACATATCACGACGATTTAGCAAAAATACGTTGTCACCATTCAATGTGTATGGAGTGACCGTCTGTCAACACCTTGTAATGCGTAAAGATAGATACACACTTATGAGAACATGATGGTTTACATCGCTAAGCATAATGAAAAGCACTAAAGTGCAAACCCTCGGCGAACTGCGCATGTGCGATACCACAATTACTGGGCTGGTGTTTTATGCTTTACTCGTGGTATCCCACTAGTAGCTCGCGGAGAGTCTGGCACGGGCTAGCTACAGTAGTAAATAGCATGCGGGAGTCGATACATGCCCTTCGTTGTGACTTGTTGTGCCTTCAAGACACACAGAGCGAACGGACGCGGTCGAGGTAAGCCTGTGTCTAATTAAAATTGGCTGTCACTGGGGTGGTTTCACGCCATAACTTAAAACACAGTAGTTTTACGAAAATCGCCTTTTTTAAAATCAACCCAGTGTAGCACTGAACCCGATCATATCGCTATTTACCTGATTTCGTGCGCGCGGTAGCAGAAAACGTGGTAACTGACAGACAGACAGACTGACAGACTGACAGACACACTTACGGGACAACTACCGTAACCCTCGCTGCGCATGCGCGCCGAGGGTTAATAATATAGCCTGTACGAAGGGAGGATTCTGTATTTCAGCTACACTTCAGTTCCAATGCAGAGTATACGTATTGGGGTACATGTGTCAATTAAGATTTTGTTCGCCGTCGATATCTATTCATCATTGGCTTACTTTCCAGTAGGTTACACCCTTGCTGTGACCTTATAATAAATGTGACCTTAAAATAACTTGGTTAACTGCTGAAATTTGCATGCATTCTCTGGTACCGAATATTACTTTCCAGTAAGCTACACCACCTTAAATTAGCTTTTGGTTAATGGCTGAAGTTTGTATGCATTCTCTGGTACCGAATATTGATTTTTCTCTAATCTTGTTGTGTATCAACAGGGCCCCAGATTCCTCAGTTTCCAGCCAGAGTCACTGGAAAGCAGAAAGCCACTTGTCCATCACGACAGGTCTGATTTCTCCCAGTGTATACATGTTGGGTAATTGGCACAATAGTGCCCCAAGTTTTTGTACGAATAATAACCACAGGACAATAATTTACTTACTAGTTTCCATGGTAACTCTTTGGGCACTGTACTTCCCAGCTATAGTCAGGATAATCCGTTGGTCTGTCCTTCCCTCCACTTGC